TTATCCGAGCTTGGGACCGGCAGTAGCTCTAGGTGAAGATATACTTCTAGTATGCTCACAACAAAATCATCCAATCTCTGATAATATTATATTCGTATTTAATGAGTTTATGTGTATTATTATTATTCGGAAAATTTCAAATACAAACAAGATCAACGAATTCCATTGAGAATTGTACACATAAAACATAATAACTGATGGAACTTCATCCCGACATCTGAGTAGTTTAATCGTGAAACTTTCGTCGTCTTTCTAGACAACATAATTACAATTGATTGATCACTGGGTGGTGATCAATCTCATGCTTGTCTAGTCCTTATTAGTGCAGATCGAATGCTATCGATCATGTTGCAATGTGGCCACCAGCTGACGAGTGCCAAGTAGCACGAAACCCGGGTCCAGGGTTTCCTGTTGACTACCTCCAACCACCATCTAATAGACAACATAATTAGTAATAGCTTCCGATAGTAGAGAACTATTGAAATTTCTCCACTTATGGTTAAAAAGTGTGTTCTGTGAACCTTAAGCTTAATTGGGTCATATAAACTGGATAATTATCGATGTGCCTATTGATTGCTAATTGTTCTGAACAAGTAACTGAGAACCCTTTGATTTGTACCAATATTTATGTGTTAAAATAAATCCAAATCTTAACATTTCTCTAGTTAAATCTGTTCTTCATTGTTTACGTGTGTTGGTATAAACAAAAATATGTCGTAGAGTTGGACTGTTTATTGATATTCATACAGACGAATATTAGGTGATCCGTTTTATACAATGCGATGTTTGTTACAGTTTTTTTATATTTGTAATAACATAAATCGTTAAATACATCCATATCAGGATATATGCTTTGGCTAACCTTGAGTACCATGGACTTCATGTACACACCTCCACTCTTGTATACTACTGATTATTATTAAGTAGTTCGAGTCATTGTTTACTTCTTTTCTTTATTATAGTGGTCACCACAACATTTCATCATTCAAGATCTGTATAATAAAGCTGTAATTATGATATCGGGATTTTTAGCTTGCCCCATCATTTGCTCTGTAATAATCCTTTCACGGAATCGATATTTGGTAATTACATCTAAATATCTTACAAGTTTTTCTACAGTAGGCTAGCTTGAAAAGCTCATTGATTACTAGCCCATATGTCGGGATCAAATCAAGCTAAATGTAAACTCCAATACTGGTCGTTTTTTTAATATGTTAGTCTAAATCGAAAGGTTTAACAACAGACTGTGATCTCGTCAATAAATATTAAAAACTATTCTATATCAAGGACTTGGTCCTAGTTCTCCATTTTTATATACTTTCCTTCTCATCTTTAAGTGACATACAGTCGTCAAGGTTTTTAATCGGAAACGTGCAATCTCACTGATTCATTATATCATCTCTTAAGTTTTGAATCCTCTATTGTCCCATGATCTTCCTTATTTCATTCCTTTTAGAACAAAGTCCACTCTGTTTAGTGTCACCACCATTGATATTGATACTGTATTATTTTTACTACTTTGCAATCGTTTTGTTGATTTCAGTGCTGATATAGTGTAATAACTTGCACTGAATCTTACCTATGTCGGATTATAACTGACTGATAAACCAAATGTTATTCAATCTTCAATTGCATGAGGGCTAATGATAGTACCTGACAGATCCAACCGAATTAAGTAAAGCTAAATCTAAAGTGATCACAATGGCATCGGTCTATACACTCTCTGTCTTCCCTTAAACTAAGAGATTAAAATCACTTCATATCTTTCTTTCTACGAACTCATTCTTTCTTCCTGTACTATATCCTTATCTGCAATCTTTCTTTTATATATTACCACCTCTGAATTAACTACTTTAATGAATCCGGTGTCCATCTTGTTGTGTTAATGAGGTATGGCAACTTGGACCGATGCATATATGTGCCTGGTCCTACGTTGTAGCTGACTGACTGACTGAAGCTAAGTCTAAAGCAACACTCCAGTCATTGTATATTAAGTGCTTTAAAAATTGACCCATTCATAACTGATATGAATATGGACATTGCTATTAAATTTCCAGATGATTAGGCTATTAGTAATATGTTAAGTATGAGATATGAAGGCTTAGTTATTTATTTGTCTTCAGGTAAGTATAATAACTCTCAACTATTGCTGCTACATCGACGTGGTGGTCAGGCTCGCCTGTCGTGATGACTCAGCCGACCTATATTGGCTAGAACACATGTTCATTTACGTCTTACCATATCAGGCAGGTCGGTTGAAGAATGGTAAGACTGAAAACAGCAAACCCAATGGCGAAATCGTACTGCTGACTGTACAGTTGTGTGACGGCATTAAGGTGTTCCCCTCAGACAACCAGCATGACAATGATGCTGCCTTCCTACAAAAATGCACACCTCGCCTTATCTTATGGATTTCCAACTCCAGCGGTAAGGTCACAACAAGTACGGAGCTAACATGAAAACCTCCCACAAAAAGGTCGTGTGACTGGTCTCAAGCAATTGTCCCTTGAAAATACAGTTACGCTCTTTGGTCATTAAGACAAACTAACCCAATTTGTTTTACATGTATCTCTAAAAGAACTCTTCCACGGTGTGGGCAACCGGGAATTGATAACCACTCTCATACCTGTAACAACATTCAAGACCACTGTAACAATAACTCCTAACTACGCTTCGATAACTGGGTACCATAATTTTTGTCCTTCCTAACCCTGATTATTTCAAAAGATAAACTTGAAAGAAAACTTTATTGTTAGAGATTAAGTAAGACTGATTCAAGCATTATATTACAGTTACAGGAACTCTCAGAAAAGAGTGAAAAATTCCAAGCACTAAAGATACAGATCAATATGAAAACAGCACCTTTTATCACGATGAAGAATAACTTTCGTGCAAAAGTTTCACGTGTAAAAAGAGACATGAATTCAAATTTACAAAATAAGAATCAGTAACATTGATTCTAAGAAAGAATCGAATTTCAATTTCTAGAGAAAAACTTTCTGACGATTCACATCAATGTTTTTCTTTTTTTGTGAAATAAATAAATAAGACTGAAAATTACAATTTGATACGATCAATAAGCAAACAACAGTTTTACACTTCAGTGTAGTTTAAATAAAAACATGTTCAATTGTATATTAATATACTTGGAAACAAAACTCAACATCATTAAGACATCCATATGTTTCTTGTTTAAAAATAAAAGTTAAAAACTCACATTTAGAACTTAATTTTTACTATCGACCAATATGAATGTTATAATGCTCGGTTTTACTTTGTCTAATGTGATAACGGTTAATTTTTCCACATTTACATGTATGGAACGTTAATTTACTTAAGACGAATATCTACACTAGATTCCATCCCAGTGTCTTGAACACAACTCAGATCAAGAACAAGTGGTTAGCCACAACGTAAATATATTTCCACACTAAAAACCTGACACAATCTAACAACAATGAACAATCAATAATAAGTGATAATAATAAGGATAGGGGGATATATAACTCATCTGGCACACCTGTCTGACTATGCAAACAACCAATCATTATCATCTACGCTCACACATCAATGAACTAGCATAATATTGAAAACGAAAAAATCCTAGACAACAATCAGCTACTCACTGATGAAGAGGGCACAGTAACCAACATGTACATGTGTATCAGCATCAAACTACTCAATAACCACTAGTGGATATGTTGGACTTTGTCATTTAGTAATATGCAGAAATGATTGGTACTATCAATGAGTTCGCTTACAATATTCATCAAGGCAATCTAATGTTAAGTTAATAATGTGAACGACGTCAAGCTAAGATCGAGAAGTGAATGTTTTAAAATCGTTCTGGTGTAAGAACTTCACTGTCTACTGCTGAGTACCGAATAATGACGAAATAGATTTACTCGTATTGTAAGAAGATTTAATCGATAATGCGTTGCAATTACAGTTTCGTCAGTAGTTTTATACAATGCGAAATGTACCCAAAATGAATTCATCCCAGCAATATATGAAATAAGAATTTATTTGCGTAAATCGTTGAATAAAGCTTCATAATGATCTGTAGTTTTGTTACCGAAAATTATTTTTAAAATAAATAATTCTTTAACCTAAAATACCAATGGAATTTGACGGTGCATTACGGAAACCTACTCAAATATTCAAGACAGTGATCGCCAACTCTTCGTTCAAGAGTTCGCGCGCGGAACCAGTAGGCCCTGGGTTCGAATCTCGCAGGGGGCGAGGTCGTGGATGCGCACCGCTGAGGAGTCCCACAATAGGACGAAACGGCCGTCCAGTTCTTCCAGGTTTTCCACAGTAGTCTAGCTTCAATTGACTCATGATCTCAATCATTGAAATTACTATAATATCTACAAAACCCATCTGATAAAATCAAACTGTCAACATGTTGCTTCTGGTTTTTCATAGCTGTTTTACATTCAACAATAAACTTTAAAGCTTTGGATAAGCAAAAAAATCTACGATATATAGCACTCATATCATATTCTTATCTCGCCTATCAATATTGGAAACCTATAACTACTCTCATCGTTGAACATTTTAAAATGGATCTATTTCTTACAATTTAATTGAAGATATTTGTTTACTTGGGTTTTGATAGATCGGATACTGATAATTATTAGAGTAAAACAATAGAATTGTCAATTAAATCCCTTAATACTCAATAATGATCATCAAATATGTGCGCTTGTCATTAAACAGTATCTATTGTTCAACAAACAATTGACTAACTGTCAACACAAAAGTCATCAAGTTTATTCATAAAAGAGTGATTATGAATAACGAAACTGGATTAATCAACCCAGAGAACTGCAACTACGGTCAGTAACAACGTAGAACTTTGTACTTACGTACATCAGTTCGGTTTGCCATACCACATTAGCACAGAGATGCAGTTGTCGATTCAACTGCAACTACAACAACTTGAAATCTTATCCATCCACCATCTTATGATTTTGTGAACCAACCAAAGGCATTTTGAATAAATACATTTTTTTACATTGATCGCAATAAAATGAATATATATATATATATATATATATATATATATATATATATATATATATATATATGGATGTTTGCATATATCAAAATGGTACATAAGAAAGAAGAGATTGACTAATAATGAAAAACAAATAAACGAATACCAGCCACAGTAGTGAGAGAGAAATTGTTCCAAGCGATATAACACACAAGAAGAAAAAAACACGCTCCATCAGATTATAGTTAACAAGAGCTTCTTTTATTCTAATAGGTAACATTATTGTTAAGATTGAAAGTGGTTCTATTTTGTTCATAACATAGGTTTATTATTCATTGAATTCATTTGTTATTCCGGTCTGTGCAAATATACACAAGCACATCGATACAGTTGATAGAACAAAGGTGATTAGGTTGATTTTCTTATCATGACAAAGTAAAAACGTTCAAATTGATTGACCACTTACATATAAAGATTGATAGTGAAATAAGGAAGTTTCTTTTTCTCATTTCTTGTAATGATTATCCTCAATTATTTGACCAGGAATTTCATTGACAATAGATAGAGTAAATGATGATAAAGAACAATGAGAATATGTTACCTATAAAGATTGTGCGTGAATTCGCTTGCATGTGTATATATATATAGTGAAGTGAATAAGATAGAAGCATAAACTATATAACCGTCCTTATTTTTACTCTCACAGAGAACACATATGATAGAAATGATAAATAGATGCACACAAAAAAAACGAACAAACAATTTCCATCAAAATATCAGAATTTACGAAAATGCCAAAGGTTTATGTATATATATAAGATATTGTTTTACTGTGTACACCACATATAACGAACGATTGTATAATAATTAATTCTCACATACATATACTCTTAACCGTCGACTATACGGTTATAAAGAGGTCGGAATTATTCCTGATGTATTCCTGTTGGAAAAAAGAGGAGAGAAAAAATAATAGAGCAAGCAGGTTGGTCAAGAATATTCTTCCGAACTATATGAGAATATTGAGAGAAAAATGTAAGATATGAAAATACAGTCAGTCAGATACAACGTAAAGTCACGAATATATGTGCATTGGTCCAAGTTGCCATACCTCATTCGCACAACAAGATGAACACCAAATTCATAGAAGTAGTTAATTCAATGGTAATAATATATAAAAGAAAGATTACATAAAATGATATAATACAGAAAGAAAGATATGAATCGATTTTAATCTCATAGTGTAAGGGAAGATAGAGAGTGTACACACCTACGCGATTGTGATCGATTCTGAGCCATGTCACTAACGGGCAACAACCATTGATTATGATAGTGACGCGGACCCCAACCAAGTAGTCTGCATTTACCAACATAACTCAGACTAGAAGTTAGTGACTTCAAACACTGATGCTAATTTTTGGTTTGGCTGCCCCGAACTTTCTTCCAACCATCCCCAACACCAGTCAGCATTGCGCGACGTGGTAATCGGTGTTCAAGCATATGTAACACGTGGCCTGCTAAATTCACAAATATTAACTAGTCACTTCGATCGCTTACAGTTCATGTCTTCTTAAGTTCCTAACTATTCGACTTTTGCGAATACAAATCAGCAAGCAGCTACCTGCCTACACAGAACAAACCAGGAGTCAAACACTTAAAAAGACAAGTTATATTTAGCTACCACTAAACGTTTTAGAACCCTCTTTTGTGTTGGTCACGAAAAGTATAAGAGGATAGTAACATAAAAATCCAATAAAAAAATATGTTGTTTTAGAGCAGATACCTGAATTCCAATTTTTGCTAGGATTGACCACATTATTCATTGCGAAACAGGAGTCTCCGAAATTCGAATTAATAACAGGGTTGTAATACACAGATTCATTTGTATGAATTCCACTGCCAGAAACATTTGTCAAAGGTTCAATAACGGGAGTAGCTGAAGGAATGTTTACTGATCTAAGCATTGAAGAAGCAATCTGAGAATGATTTGATGTCATAAAACGACCAAATTCTAATGAAGATTGATTAACTGGCTGAGGAGATAATTGCATAGAATGTGGTTGATTTTGTAATAGATTATCGTTGGCAACTGCTAAGGGGATTGTTTGAACAACATTTGGAATTGAACCAGTGGCAGCAAGAAATCCAGTCGCTTGATTCATTGTATAAACAGGACTATTTCGATAATTTATTTGTCCGCTATTGTTATTAGGTATACCAACGCCACCGACAACCGCAGCCGCCGCTGCAGCCAATGATATAGGATTACCATTATTGACCATAGTTTGTGATTGCATCTCCATTTGTTGTTGTTGTTGTTGTGCACACAGATTAGCATAATATGTCTCCGTCGGTGAACGAACATGTGAACCAGGCGGTGGTGCCGGAGGATATCCATTGTATCGAAAGTGTGGATTTTTCAAATCTAAACTATTAACAATCTATGATTGATGATAAACAATGATAGATAATAATTTAATGTGATGATCATTATAATGTTAAATATATGTGATGAGATTATAATTTATGGATGACGTTTGTGAGATATACTAAGGTGACCTTGAGAAACTTCACTTCCCAAGATCAAAATGAGGTTATGAATCAGTGTTAGAAATCAGAGAAAGGGTTTTTAACACCAAATCACATCAACTCTAATGTAAAAATGCTATTCATTCAGTGATATGAATGAATGAATTGCGAGAAAAAACCTAAAAGTTGGTTTGTTCCTAAATTATAGTCTCATTGTTTATATAAATATGAAAGGTGACAAATTTTTATCAAAAGCAGTTGACTATTACTGTATTCATAGAATGTCAATCATAGTGAAAGAAAATCAGAACCCGTTAGTGGAATACCATACACCACTATCGATAGTAACAGATATGCACATATGCATCCATCTGTGTTGTTTGCAATCTTTCAACAAACTTCATCACCATTAATTTTCGTATATGTGGTAAATGGTTAGCTAGCAGTATTATACAGGACGTGTATTTCGTCCTGCTTGAAATTTTTCAACTGGATGCACCTGTATTCCAGTGTCCATGTTTACGCTGGAACTCAAACTCAGTACTTTTCACTTCGAAAGCTCAACGCGTTAACCGCTGAGTCAAAATATCCACTAACCTGTTGAACGGAAACGAAGGTTCCCACATCATTTTATTATTATCCTTTGTAGATTCCCTTTCATTTTGTTTTGTCGTATCCAACGTGCAAATTGTTGTACTCTATTGACTATTTTGTGTTAGTTATAGCCATTTATATAAATTCAGAATGTAGCGCAATGATAATATTTACAATAAATAATCATAATAATACATTATAAAAGGTTTATAGAAATACTAAAACAAATAAATATAACCAATCTCTTTTCGAGCTTTATTTGTCTAAAAACCAATACCTAACTTTATATAATGCGAGTGGATTTATACAGTCACCGAAAGAAATCACATTTGCAGTCATATATTATTTGGCGTATAACATGAATTACCACCGTATACAGACAGACCAACATAAGTGTAGTTTTGTATGTCAGTCAGTCACAATGCAGAACCTGATACGTATGTACATCGGTTCAAGTTGTCATATCCCATTAGTAAAGATGAAATTTTCAGGCTAAATCCCAGAATAGTAGAGGTAGGTAGTAACAGTATCAGTCGTAATAGAAAAGATTGTACATCAAAGATACAATTCAGGAAAATATAAATAAGTAAAATAGAAGAATCTTGTATAAAAAAAATAAAAATACCGAATATAAAACAATACTGTATCATGATATACCTTTGTTTCACTACCAGGAACTATCAGTTCGATTTGAACATCATAGGACTGCCTAGAATTAGCATGCATAAGAACACGTCCATTAAGTGACTGACCTTCTTGAACGAATAATGGTGTTCCCATAAGACAACGCACCTAATTGAATGTAAGATGATAATAATAATAAATTATCGTTCTGGCATTTTTAAAGATTTGTGGAATTGAAGCATTTTTGTGACAAGAAAAGTTAACTAACACATATATGAGTTCAAAAAAGTATAAAACCCTTTAGTATTTAAATAAAAATTTACTATCCACACTCAATTTGAAAATAAAAGGCGATGGGTGCATCGAATCTGTAGGTTTACGATCTATATATACATACAGAAAACTATGCTAGCTATATATCAATTTAAAGAATTATTATCTAACAATCTGGACTGTGTGGCGAGCCCTTACATGGAATCTTCAAGGCCAAAGGAAAAGAGGAAGACCAAAGAACATATTACGCCGAGAAGTGGAGACAGACATAAGAATGAACAACAATTGGATAGAACTAGGAAGGAAGGCCCAGGACAGAGAGAGTTTGGAGTATGCTAGTCGGCAGCCTATGCTCCATTGGGTGTAACAGGCGTAGGTAATCTGGACTGTGTAAATTTCCTTATAGGCATTTTATTCAAGATAGACACTACATGTATGTATTTCTCCTGAAATTTTCCTCTAAATCGTGAATACTTAGCGATTAAAACTTTTCGTTTCCCTGTTTTTTATCATTGTTGTTCGTATTAGAAATAAAGAAAACATTTTACTCCTGATAGTGTCACCTTTTCTCTGACTGAACTCTTTTTTCTTTTACCGATTACAAATTGTAATAACTATAAACGGTATATATTTTGCACCAAAATTTATAATCTTTCTAAGTTGTTTACGCCTATTTTACTTGCTATTGTATTATGGATATCACTGAATATATTGTGTGCAATCTCACTATTTGTTGGAGATGTTAGATCCCCAGAATTCACTTGGTAAATACTTTTTTTTGTAATTTTATTTTAAAAATTTGAATTCCTTGTTTTCGCGCCGAAAGCGCCCATTTTTAAGTTCATTTCGTATTTCCCACTTGGGGAAATCTTAAACACTATTGGTTCGTTGTATCTCTTAGTATGCCATTTTGTAACGCTTCCGAATGACAATTTTTTGCCCGTCGTAATTGCTCGTGCTTCTGGCTGTTTGTGGAATATATTTCCCCGTTTAGAACATGGACTTCTCTCTCTAATTAGCGGAGCTGGAACGCATCAGAGTAGCTAGCTTATTGGTCTTTGGTCCGTTTATAGACTAGGTGAATTCGTAATCGTTTCAAACATATCACTGTTTTGTAACTTTGCTTTTTCCTAATCCGTAAGTAATAGCGAATACACACTGTTATCACTCAAATTATACGGAATGCAATTGGTTTTCACGTTAACTGAACACATGTATACAATATGAAACACCAGATCGAACATATCACCAAATCAAACTCAATGATTATACTAACCCATTTTCTCTTTAAGCTAAATACTGTTGTGCATTTGTCTGGACAACAGTGGGAAAATTATTTTTTATAAATGAACCTCCGTGTCGAGAAGGTATAGAAAACTGACAAACGTAATGCGCACACATATAAAGAATAAAATTTGCTAAAACTTATGATAAATTTCTTTTGTCTTACTTGATACCAATGAGTAAGTGGTTCAGTTGGTGCAGTTGACAACCATACATCTCGCTGAGAACCTAAGAAACCAACATCAAACCAAAATGCAAGGCCATGGATCTGGATTTGTACCGAACAATATAGAATGAATGGGAAAAAGAAGTGTAAAAGTTACAATCAGCTATAGAATAAGTTAGTATTTAAAAACATTTACAGTTCAATATGTAGGAGGATGACTACGATAATCCATATTTCCGTTTACATGCTAAGATGAGATCGAATGGAGCACAGTTTCCATGTTGTGATTGGTCTTAAACGGTGACGAGTTCTAATCTCTCAATAACCCTTGCATTTGCGTGAGTGGTATATTACAATCTATTTTAATACATATTTTTTTAATCAGCTTTAATAAAAACTATTCGCTTGCTTTACAAAATGGATGCATCGGTTATGCAAACGATTCTTCAAACTTAATAATGCAAATTAGTTTTGTTTATTTCAAATAATTTCACTAAATTTATATTTACTTGAACGCATAAATATTGGTACAAGGGGGTACCGTATGTGTATGCGCCACACAAATCACTTGATTTGTTTAAGGGCTGTGATACTGCCCGGGTGCTCAGACCGAAGCAGGTGGTTTTCTTAGGGGGCCACACCCCGGACTTTCGACCTAAAGGTCTCATCCACAAGGCAGTGGAGCAACGAAAGGAGATACAGTTTGATGGTAGCCAGTGACCAACAATAGGTTCAACATCATTTGTTCCCGCAGGATCCTGGAGCCCATGTGCATTATTGGTTTGGAATCACGGTTTTCCAACCCTTCTAGGTGGGTCTTCCATATCCACAAACCTGGTTAAAGCGTCGGATATTCGCTTTTCGTCCTCTCAATTCTGTAAACAACAGTAATGCCGTGAGAAGGCAGTGAGTAGAACTTCCCTGGCAGAGGCTATGGTACGCGTGGCCATGTGAGAGCATTTGGAGAGGGTGAGCTGACTCTCACCACCCTCGGTCATACCAAGGCATAATTAATACACATGTTATCCATCATACGATCCATTTGACTTATTGTCGCCACCATTTTTAACGAACTGTTACCACATTCGATGAGCTCCCTGAAAACGTATATTGAAAATGATAAATCCCTATAATAAGTAGGATTTGATGAATTTAAAAGACCTTTTCGTTGAAAGGAATTAATCACAAGCTACTTTGTTTTCTATCTAATGATTCAAATATTTAATATTCAATTAATGAATCATAAATTTAGACCAACTTTTATCTGATAAAGAAATTTTGGACAATTGAAAAGAGTACCGTTATTAGCGATTATTCGATAGGTTTAGCTGAGAAACTGACGTACAGATTACATTCCTAGATAACTAATTTCAATTACAGTTGTTTTTAAGATACCAAAAATTTTTCACACAATGACATTTTGTAGTGATTTTATTTATATCATTAAAAAAAACGAAAGAAAATTTACATCTAATAATTGAATTCATGAGACTATCGTAACCGATGGTTGGAGACTCTTGGTGACATGGCTCAGAATCGATCACAATGGCGTCGGTGTATACACTTCCTGTCTTCCCTTAAACTAAGAGATTAAAATCACTTCATATCTTTCTTTCTACGAACCAATTCTTTCTTCTTGTACTATATGCAATCTTTCTCTTATATATTACCACCTTTGACCTAACCACTGCTATGAATCCGGTGTTCATCTCGTTGTGTTGATGCGGTATGGCAACCTGGACCGATGCATATATGTGCCTGGTCCTACGTTGTAGCTGACTGACTGACAATTGAAGCTAGACCATCATAGAAAACCTGGAAACACTGGACAGCCGTTTCATTCTAACTTCATCTAACTTCAATTGACTTATGAATTCAATTATTAAATTACTAAAATCTCCACAAAACGCATCTCTGATTAAAATTTACATTATTCAATTCATCAAATATATCTTATAATAATGTCGTATTATGATGTAGTGTAAGTTTAAATCAGTTTTGAAAATGTATAAAACCATAAACTGATGTAGACTAAAATATAAAGCTTATACAAAGTTACGTGAGTCAATATAGGTGAGACTATTTAGCATATTTATGAACTAAACTATTATTGACCAATTTTAGTTAATTATAAGGTAGTAACGTGAACTCAATAAATTTCTTTAACCACATTGAATTAAATATTTTAATACAACAGTGTTTAAGAGATCCTAAATGTGTTCTCTGAATTATTTTTCATTGATGTACTGAAACACATACTTTCGATCAAAGAATGTGCATACCATAGGGACTTGGGTTATTTTTTACAGCAAACAGTAATAGGAAAAGATTATAAACATACAAAGACACTTTATTATTTAAACCAATGAAAAACGGAACAAGAACTTACTGTAGAACAGGTTGTAATTTGATAATTTAGAGGAATATCGATTGAACTTAGTTCGGATTCGGATACAGTACGGAAATCCACTTTGTGTATACATGGTAGTGCTGGACAAATACCAATATCAAAAGTGTCGACTATAGGTTGATTGAAGTATTCCGTAACGGCAGCATTACGTAGAGCAGTTAGATCCATGCCATGAAAACTCTGGTTTGGGGAGAAGTATGTGTAATTAAAAAGCCGGTGAAAACATTAACGACTATGTAATATAATGGTATACTCTGGAGAGTGAAGACAATATTAATAGGATTTGGATTAGAGTTGACTATTAATACTATCAATCACTAAATACACTGAGTAGTATTATCAAGAGTTATAAAATAAGAAATTAGAAACAGTATATTAATAACCAACGCAAACATGCAATGCCCCAATATATATGTTTTTTAATACAAATTGTACTCTATATATCTTAACATCACACAGATGAAACTGGTGAATAGAAGTAAGAGATGAAATTGTAACGAAAAGATAATGAATGGTGACAACAATATTCTTTCTAACTGGACTCATTTTTAACACTTGCACACACAGGATTAAAACCTAAGACGAATTGCTTACTCCACATTATGAAATAAATCTAACTTTATTACTAACGGGTGAGTTATTCATTTTCATCTAAGTTTACTGTTGGTCCCAAAACAACACAAAAGATGAGGGTTGGGCATAGTGTCAGCAACCCCATCCCGTAGAAAACAACCTTGCGGAAAAACGATAACCAGAAAACACAATTGCAATTCTGCCCTCCGAGTTGAACGATCTTCATTCAGAATGCCTCATAGTTAAAGCCGAGATTCTTTGGAAGTCCTGAGAACAAGAAGACTGCAAATAATAACAGCTGAACAAGAGCAGATGATGTCAAGGCATACACCGTATACACTGAAGCAAACAAGCAAGTGACGAAGAGCATTAGAGCTGATAAGCAGAAATGTGTGGAAGACCTAGAAAAGACAGCAGAACAAGCTGCAACAGAAGGAAACATCAAACAACTTTATGACACGAAAAAGAAACGAGCAGAGAAATGTAGTAAACCAGAGAGACTGATCACGGACAAAGGCAAGACAATCACCGAGATTCAAGAAAGGAAGAACAGGTGGGTAGGACACTATGAAGAACTCGTAAATAGGCCAGCCCCATTGGACCCGTCAGAAATCGAAGCAGCACATACAGATACTCCTACAGCTGTTACTCGATCCAAGATTGAAGGAGTCAGTACGTCCATCAGGCAAATCATGTGTTGGAAAACGGCACGACCAGAAAACATACCAGCTGATGCACTGAAGTCAGATATGGAAGCGACTGCAAACATGTTTGACATTCTACTCAGAAAGATTTGGGAGGAAGAACAAGTGCCGACAGACTGGAAAACTCATCCTGGTACCAGAGGAAGGAAATCTGAGCAAGTGTAGGAACTACAGAGGCATCACACTACTACAAGTATCAGGAAACGTTTACAACAGTGTTGTTAAACCGAGTGGAAGTTTTGGTAGACGCCCAACTTTGAGATCGACAGGCTGGATTCCGTAAGAATCGGTCGTGCATCGACCAATGGAATTCGTCAGTATACATCAAATTCCTTGAATGAGAAAGCGTTTGATAGCGTGAATTGAAGAACATTATGGAACCATCCTCGATACTATGGTGTGTTTGAGATTATCTTCAACATCATACGGAATTCATACGATGAACTACACTGAGAAATCATGTATGGGAGACAGCTGACAGACGCATTACAAGTGAACACCGACGTTAGACAAGGCTGCTTACTCTCGCTCTTTCTCTTTCTTCTAGTGGTTGACTGGGTTATGAAGACCTTTACATCTGAGGAAAAGCACGGAATACAATAGACAGCTTGCATGCAACGAGACAACTTGGACTTTGCAGATGACCTAGCTCTTCTGTCTCATACACACCAACAAATGCAGGTGAAGACAACCAGTGTACCAGTAGTCTCTGCATCAGTAGGCCTCAACGCACACATGGGAGAAAGCAAGGTTCTCGAATGCAACACGGAAAACACCAACCCAATCACACTTGATGGAGAAGTTCTAGAGGAGATGGAAGTCTTCACGTATCTGGACAGCATCATCGATTAACAGGGAGGATCAAATGCAGATGTAAAGGCGAGGATCGGCAAAGCGAGGACAGAATTTCTACAGTTGAAGAACATGTGGAACTAAAAACAACTGTCAATCAACATCAAAGTCAGAATCTGCAATACGAACGTCAAGACAGTTCTAATGTATGGGGCTGGAACTTGTAGGACTACGACAACCATCATCAAAAAATAGAGGTATTTCTAAATAGCTACCTGCGCAAGATACTCAGTGTCCGTCGACCGGGTACCACCAACAACGATCAACTGGAGGAAAGAACAAACCAGCTTCCAGCTGAAGAGGAAATTAAGAAAAAACGCTGGAAGTGGATAGGACATACATTGTGGAAATCAAACCGCATTACGAGGGAAGCACTAACTTGGAATCCTGAAGGGGAACGGCGAAGAGGAAGACCAAAGAACACACTGAGTCGGGAATCGGAAGCAGACATCAAGAGGATGAACAACAACTAGAAAGGATTGTCCAGGACAAAGTTCAGTTAAGAATGCTGGTGGGCGGCATATGCTCTTGCACGAGGGGTAACAGGCGTGGAGTTTGCAAAAAATTGTCTATTCGTTACTGTGAAATCGTGATCAGTTTGCTTATTGATACTACCCAACCTCGTTATCTGGTCTGGATTTTATTGGATTTACTTTATTGCAAAACAAATCAGTTGAACAGCGACAAGACTTAAATAACTGAATTCTATGAACGATGTAATAAAGCTGACTCTCAGTATAGCGATAACTACTCGGAGAGATTAAAAACACCAAACCTAGAAAGTAGAATAACCACGCACTTTCCAAAGTGTGAGCAATCAAGGAGTTAAATTTCTATGCAACTCCATTTGAATAACTGCCGACCCTATTTTTATTTATTCATTCATTCTCATGCTTGATGACCACTTCTGATGCTTTGAGCTTTCGAGATGCTAAATCTAGACTCCTGAAAACGCCATCCAAGCCACATACGGACAAACAGTATCGCTCCCGACTGTTGTTGCTACCTTGACGTGATGGTCGGGCTTGCCTATCGTGGTGAAGCAACCGAGCTATACTGAGTGGAACAACCGTTCCTCAAGGTCCTACCATGCCAGACAGGTCGGTTGAAGAGCGGTAAGACTAAAAGCAACAAACCCAAAGTCCGAAGGCGAAGTCGTACTGCTGACTGTACACAGGTGTGACAGCAGTAAGGTGTTTCCTTCAGACAACCATCATGACAGCGATGCTGCCTTCCCACAAGGAGGGGTGGGGTTAGAAAACGTCAACCCTAAAATGCACACCTCGCATTATCACACGGATATCCGTCTCGAGCGGTGAGGTTCCAATAAGTACGGAGCTAACACGAAAATTACTCACAAAAAGGTCGTGTGTGACCGACCTCAAGCAGTTGTCCCTTGGGCACCGTGGTCACGCTCTTAAGTCACTAAGACCACCTTTAATCCAATTTCCTTTTCAGGTACCTCCAGAAGAACCCTTCCACAGTGTGGGCAACCGGGAAGTGATTACCACCCTCATACCTCTAGCAGCACTCAAGACCACTGTACTCATAATCAACCTCCGTCTTCACTTCCTATTATTCCTCCTACATCGACTTTCACCTCTAAACTTCCTTTTTCGGCTTCCTCCTCAAGTGTCACCATAGCCAACGATTCTAATGCCCAAAACACTGTCCAAGGTCTACCGAAACCTCGCCCCACACTACACATTGGAGCCTTTAACGTACGCACCCTATGTCAAATCGGTCGACAGGCTTCTCTGGCTGTTGGGTTAAACGGCTTCGTAAGAACTCGGAAGGATAGAGACACACGCCGTTGCCTTTTTGTCGTTTCTGCCTACGCTCCCACCGACTGCAGCTCAGATGAAGTGAAAGATGAATTTTACAGAAAGCTATCTGAACTTCTTCAGAAAGCTAAACGTCCAGACATAGTACTCGTAGCAGGTGACTTTAATGCCCAGATAGATAGTTTAAACCAAACAGAAAGGCATTTAGGTGGGTATTTTAGTATTCCGGCACAACGAACAGATAATGGTGATCGTCTGCTGCAACTGTGCTCAGACAATCGTTTATTTTTGGCAAACACAAATTTTAAGCATAAGGAGAGATATCGTCTAACATGGCGACCCCCTACACCAAACCAACGATGGACTCAAATAGACCATATTGCCATCGGTCATCGTTGGAGAGGGTCGGTAGAAGATTGTCGTTCATTCTGGAGTACCTGTTTGGACTCCGACCATGTCCTAATACGGGCACCCATCTACTTGCGCCTCACTGGACGCAAAAAAGCCACACTAAAATTTTATTTATTTATTTGAACACATATATTGGCACAGGAGTGCGCCAAATATATATGCGCCACACAAAACAATGAGAATTTAAGAAGAAAAAAAGTGGGGAACGTACAAAAAAACAATAACGAAGAGATTGGTGTAAGGTAGTGTAATGATAATAGTAATAGTAGGGGAACAGAAGGGTACAATCAGAAGAAATCTTTCACTTAAGGAAGATACAACCACTTTTTACGAAGTAAAACAAGGTTACAGCAGGATCGCCACTGGCTTCTATTCTGAGCCATATCTGATAACGTCTCTAGCCACTGTGTTGCACCATCTCTCGGACCCCAACCAGGGAGTCGTAAAGGACCAACAGAAGCCAGTCCTTTGCAGATTTCTTTCATACCACGACACCATGTCATGCACTGACCACCTCTCCGCTTCTTCCAACCAGTCCCAGAGTCGGCAAATAATGCACGACGTGGAATTCTCTGGGACGACATTCGGAGAACATGTCCAAGCCAACGAAGTCGATGTTTCGAGATGATGACACCAACTGCATTATCGTCTCTGCGTCCGAACACACGATGCCGAACCTCTGCATTACTGACATGGTGTTGCCACTGAATGTCAGCAATCCTTCGGAGACAGCGATGATCGAACACAGAAAGTCGTCTAACATCTTCAACTTGGAGAGCTCAGATTTCACAAGTATATAGTAGAACTGCTCTCACCTACGCGTTGTAGATCCGACCTTTTACAGCCAGACTAACATCACGAAGGCGCCAAAGGTGGCCCAGATTGGCATAAGTCGCTCTGGCTTTCACTATTCGTGCATTGATCTCATCACTTACACCCCCACCAGCACTTATGCAGCTACCCAGATACACGAACTTCTCGACTACGTCTATCTGCTCACCATCCAGGGTGAGTACAGCATTGGAATCCTGCCAGTCTTGTAGGAGTACTTTGCACTTCGAAGGTGCAAAGCACATACCATACCTACGGACATTGATTGCCAACTGATTATGTGCGGATTGCACGCCTTGGGCACTATCACAAAGTAAGACAATATCGTCCGCATACTCAAGGTCGAGAAGTCTTTCTCCAGGCAACAGATCCACACCACCATTACTTACATCCATCAGAGCTGTTTCCAGAATGTCATCGATGGCAAAGTTGAAGAGGAATGGTGAGATTGGGCAACCCTGCCTAGCCCCACTGCTCGAATGGAACAATGGAGAGAGGTGGTTGTATGCCCTCACTCTGCCTGAGGTGTTTATATAGGGCTTTTAGGATGTTAATAAACTTCTCAGGCACACCCTTCTTCAATAGACAATCCCAGAGAACAGTCCTATCCAACGAATCGAAGGCAGCCCTGACGTCAAGAAACACTACGATTGTTGGCCTTTGAAAAGTATGACGGTGTTCTAACATTTGGCGGAAGGTGAAGATATGATCAATACATCCTCGACCAGAACGAAACCCAGCCTGCTCCTCGCCAGTCAATCTTTCTCGGGTTTTGAACAACCTACGAAGTATGACGGAAGCCAATAGCTTGGACGCAATCGGAAGTAGACTTATCCCCCGATAGTTGTTACAGGAACGACGTGAACCCTTTTTAAAGATAGGGACAACTATCGACTCATTCCATGACGTTGGCACACTCTCTAGTTCCCAAACCTTTGTAAACAACGTCGTCAATTCCTTAGTCAAAAAGTCACCACCATCTTTAAAAAGAGCCGGAGGTAAGTCATCTGGGCCAGGTGATTTGTAACGCTTCAAGAGTTGGAGTTCCTTGCGGACTTCCTCCTCGTTTGGTGGATCAGTCGTCACCGGCCATGGAGGGCAGGACAGTCTGACCGATGTTGCCGGAGCAGCAGACCAGTTGAACTGCCCTTCAAAAAATTCTGCCCATCGTCCAAGACGTCGATGGATATTAGTGATTGGCATCTCATCATCCTCGCAGATTGTTTCGCTGACACCAGACTTTTTGCTGCCAGCGGCTCGAATGAGCGAAAACAAATCAGATCTAGATTAAGCAAAAGTCTATGGAACGACCGTGAGCAGTGGTGGATAACGAAAACAAGAGATGGAAAAGGCGGCGGTTACAGGGAACACAATATAGCTCTACAGACTAATAAAAAAACTGGAATTGATAAGTCAAGTGTAAGTCAGACTATTTCGGAAAAAGTCGACACTCTCGTCTGCTCTCAGTCCAGACGTTTGGAACGATGGGCGGAACATTTCAGAGAACAGTTCAACTGGCCTTCAGCTACTCTACAACTACCCTCCATTCCCAGACAATGTGAATGGAACATTGAAGTAGGTCCCCCAACTCTAGCAGAAGTTCAAAGGGCTATAGTTAATCTGAAACGAGGAAAGGCAGCTGGTCCAGATGGATTGGCTCCGGAGGTCTTTAAGGATGGTGGTTCAATTTTAGCGATTAGGTTGACTAATATTTTAGCTAAGATCTGGGAATTAGACGTAATCCCATCTGACTGGTCACAAACACTTATCGTCCTAATATATAAGAGAGGGTTAAAATCATCCTGTGACAACCATAGAGGGATTAGTTTGACTAATGTAGTATCTAAAATATTAGCCACGATAATTATCAGACGCTTAACTAAGACTTGTGAACTGCAAACACGAGAGAATCAAGCTGGCTTTAGACCTGGTCGTGGCTGCATCGACTACACATTCACCATTCGTCAGGTTCTAGAACACAGGCATACCTATCGGCGTCCGACAATGGTGGTTTTTCTCGACTTAGAAGCAGCATTTGACTCCGTAGACCGCGAGATTCTGTGACAGTGTCTGTCATTGAAAGGCATACCCCAGAAGTACTTAAACCTTGTGAAGGCTTTTTACTCGAACACTACCAGTCGAGTGAGAGCTTATGGCGAACTGTCATCTGCTTTTGCAACCTCAAATGGTGTTTGGCAAGGTTGTCCACTATCTCTATTTCTGTCTAACTTCATCATAGACCTATTGATGGAAATAACATTCTCGTCTACTGAATTCTCGAGTATTGACCTTCTTCCAGGAGATCCACTTATCGACTTAGAATACGCAGATGATATAGTCCTGTTTGGTGAAGACGCTGATAAAATGCAGTCTTTCAGTAGCACTGAGCAACAATGCCAGAATGTTTGGAATGCGCTTCTTTCCCTCGAAATGCAAGTTGTTGCTTCAGGACTGGTCTGCGTTAACACCTGAACTAAGGATAGGGAGTGGAGTAGTTGAACGCGTTGACAACTTCACTTATGTTGGAAGTCTGATCAGCCCTAATGGGTTGGTGTCTGACGAAATCTCAGCACGGATTCGAAAAGCTCGTTTGGCTTTCGCCAACTTACGTCACCTATGGCGAAGGCGAGGTATCCGTCTATCAATAAAAGGACAAGTATACTGCGCGGCAGTCCGTTCTGTTTTAATTTACGGCAGCGAAACATGGCCCTTAAGAGTAGAAGACACTCGTAAGCTACTAGTGTTTGACCACAGATGCCTTAGAAATATTGCTGGCGTCTGCTGGGATCACCGGGTAAGTAACAGTAAGATTAGACGCAAGGTTTTAGGAAATGATGGTGAATCAGTTGATGAATTTGTGAATCTACATCGACTCAAGAGGTTGGGCCACATGTTACCTATGCCTGAACACCGATTATCACGACGTGCAATGCTAACCGGTGTTGGAGATGGTTGGAAGGAAGTTAGGGGCGGCCAAACCAAAACGTGGCATCAGTGCTTGAAGTCACTAACTTCTAGTCTTAGCCATGCTGGTAGATGCAGACAACTTAGTTGTGGTCCGCGTGACTATCGTAAACAATGGTTGGAGACTCTGGGTGACATGGCTCAGAATGGCATAGGTGTACACACTCTGTCTTCCCCTAAACTAAGAGATTAAAATCACTTCATATCTTTATTTCTACGAACTAATTCTTTCTTCCTGTACTATATCCTTATATACAATCTTTCTTTTATATATTACCACCTCTGAATTAACTACTTTAATGAATCCGGTGTCCATCTTGTTGTGTTAATGAGGTATGGCAACTTGGACCGATGCATATATGTGCCTGGTCCTACGTTGTTGCTGACTGACTGACTGAAACAGTATCGCTAATATTGGGCGTTGGAGAGGACCAGTAGAGAAATCCAACTTCTAAGGGTACAATATTCGATAAACACCTGCAGTTGTTTAACCGACCACAAACAAACCAAAATATGGAAATCTTTGAGTTTAGGTCGAAGATAAGAATATCAAGTACGCAGCCAAGGATAATTTGCAAGGGCGAGTTAACTGGAGAGTAACAATTAGCAGAAACTAAAATGATAATGCCTTTACAATTTTGTTGATGTAAACGAATAAAATAATTTGAAGACTACTAAACTAACCTGTTGATACCAAAAGTTAGCTTTCCCGTACTGTTCAGCGAAGAGTGCCTCATCACTGAATGGAACAATATACAAATTTGCTACAGACGGGAACATTATTCCGGGGCAAGGTAATGATCTATTAGATAATTTTGTCGCGCCATCATGTACCTGATCCTCTATGTCAATATCTTCACAGTCCAACTCATCAGTTAATACTTCATCAGAATGCTCAGAATCTGACAACTGTTTGACATATGGTGATTGATCATTTTCATTAAGTCGTTCATGCTCACGTCTGTTCTGCTTCTTTTTTAATGGCTGTCGAAGATGTGGAGCTAGAAACTTTCTTGCATGAACATACGATTCTAACATTCTCTCGTTGTATAACATATAACCCATTGGCTCAGATATAATGACATCCACTGGTTCGGGCAAAGTGATTTCTTCTATTTTCCCACTAAGAGTAAAATAGTTTTAGTAAGTTTTTGAGTGATAAATTTAACCTAAGTATTGAAAAGTGTGAACTTTATTTCTAGACAGGTGTATTAAGCAGAATGAACAAAAAATACCGATTTATCTCAAACGTGAAAAGAATTTCACAAATTTAGCTTCAAACTAAGTGCCAATAACTTGTTTAACTAAAGTGACTCGTAAATAACAACTGTAGAAATGACGAATGGATTGTTGACATAGTATATGAGACTTAAATTCAGAGTTGGTGTTAGCGGGACATAGACTCGATTAAAGCATGCTCAGTGCACGATTTCTTTGCTGCACTTTGATTGGCTAATTCTTATCCAATCAGCACTAGTCGAGAGTTGGAGAATACTCTAGAATCTTTTCATGTGAAAACTATAAATATACTGACGTTTCCTCTATTGTGCTTCTTACTTGCATCTTACTTTCATCTAACCTTGTTATTTGGAATATAATTTCTTTCCTGTTTAACCGTGTTCTGATTTGGGGACTTGTCGAGTGATTGGTGTCCGAGAATACTAAGCGATAGGAATAGCTGGGTCATAACCGTAAGAAAGAGATTATAACAGTTGGTAACTTATTATCACGGTACGAACTTTATTAGCGCCCTAATAATATGGTCGGAGAACATTAATAAGGTACTAAACGTTTCGGTATACTGGTACCTCAAATATAAATATAAATCAGTAGTGTCTGAACTGGCGATTTTTAAAATTGAGGATTATTGGAATTCAAATGTTTATGAATGATGCAATTCAGCTTGAATTACGTATGTAGTCAACATGATAATATCAATACCATATATCGATATCCAAATGTTGCACAAGCAATAAATACGCACATTCAAGTTGATAAGTCTAATACAAGGCATTAATGAGGTACTTATTTTGGACAACTTTAAAAATGTACTTAATTCCCCAATACTTCATTAAAATCATTAAATAGTAGTTGTTTACAATTTGCGCTTTTGCTGAAATCGACTATCTAGTCGGAAACTTCGTGGTGTAATATATTGGCTTTGATGAGATTTTAAAACATTAGATAAATAATCATAAGCAGTCATAAACACTAACTAACCTGATGACAACAATGCGTCCCGCCAATTTATTTGCTTGAACTAGACTATTACAATGAGTAGCCATATTAGATGCTTCAACAGCATAAACCCTTGTTGCACCAGCTTGGATTGCGAAGAAGCTCAAAATTCCTGAGCCAGCTCCAACATCCAATACCACTTTTCCGCGAAAGTCGGCGGAAGCATTTGCGAGAATAGCCCTTTGGTATGTTGAAGTGCGAATATAGTCCTAAGAAATATAAATCAAATAGAAGTAAACAAAGTGTACACTAGTGAACCACTACAGGAAATCAAAATAAGTCGGAATAATGTCCAGAAACCCATTGTAGCTTTATGAACAATCCACAAGTTATGCAAGTGTCAAACTCATAAAGTGCAAATAGGAGTGAATTAGTTAGATGTTTGTAAATGAAACCGTGAAATGTTTAGTGCCTAGAAACGGGACGGGTGGTTAGCTTTATTAAGTTTGGAAGCTATTGTTAGATGGGTATAAAGATGTTGACTTCGTTTTCGAGCAACAAGCTAAATGCATGTGAGTGATAATCATTTTGAAAAATCAATAATTGAGTAATTACACATCACTACCTGCATTCAAAACGCCTTAAGCTGACAAGTCAAAGGTCACAAATAATTAAGGTAGCAACATATGAACCAGTGGTTACATTACAATACAAACAGGTACGTTTATTACAAATGACATTAATTAAATGACCGTGTAGCCGAGTTCTAGAGATTAATGCATGTGGTGGATGTGTATGAACGTCAATGAGGATAATCTGAGTTTATGTTCTAAGGCAGCGTCAAAAATGTAGTTATAAAGAAAAAAAGACCTTAGATTGTAGGTTAGTTTACAGTGAACACGTCTAAGCAGAATGTTGCAGCAGTGAACAAGTTTATATTCCTGAATTTGAATTGAGAGGAATTAGCGAAGTAAATATTAAGAATGCACGTTGGGGACGGAAAACAAAAGAATCTAATGAATATAGAAGATTAAAAAAGAATGCATTCGTGCAGATACGATTATACTTGCAATTTTCATGCGATAATTTGCCCATGAAGGTACACTTCTGACACGCTATCAATGCCCTTAAACAGTATACCATTCAAAACCTTCCGAGTACACTTCCATGTTCTGTATACTTTGAAGGCCAAACAAACTACATGTTTGCTTACATAGAAGTGTGTGAAGATTTAGGGTTTGAAGTGATGGGTTAAGTACAATGAAACTGATGAAAAGATGACACCAATAGGATACATTGAAAGTATCGATAGACATCACAAACTGCTTGACGCAAATCGCATTTCATTGGCCACTTAATTATTATTAAACGGGCCTGATAAGCAGTTACCGAGACCTTTTAATTTATTTACATTTTCTTTTGAGACAAGTACTGATTACAACTTTCAGTGTACTAAAGCATGTTTAGGTTCACAATCCAGGTAAAGAATAAAGGTAAATGGTGCGATACTCAAAAAGGAATAACTTGTCAGAAGTTCTGAAGAATTTCTGAAAACATACCTGCATCATATTTTGTTGCTGACTGATGTAACTGTAAAATTGGAAATATTGTACTGCAGACCAAGAGTCAGTACGCTTATCGAAAATGGAAGTGCGGGTCTCCTTCTTGTCCTCTTCACATAGCGGTTTCAGTAGACCGGAAGAATTCTGTGCAATTTACTTACAAAATATATAGCACTTACTAAAAAGCTACGGACATCCCCTGGAGAATCGAACCCCAACAAATAAGTAGTGAAGACCGCGTCCCCGACGCATTTTTTCGTACAGACAGCTACTGTTTTTTGTGAGAAACGATATATATTAGCCAGAGAGGAAATATGGATTTCCCTGACGGTCTCGTTATCCCTACTTTTGTGGCAGTGAAAACACTCCAATGCACTTACCGAAGAGAAATCACTTTAGAGTTTCTCAATCCAACTGTTAATCCAGTTCCGAGCGTTCGACAAGTGAACTGGGCCTCATCAAACATACGAAGCTCGACATTATGATACTCCGCTGACATGCCTGCGCGCCAAACTCAATTTCCCCGGGTATAAATCAGTTTCAGTTTCGGAAGGACAGGAGGCCTGGTGGCTTGTATTAGTCCTGGCAATGGTGGTCCCTTAGTTGATCCAACTTTCTTTTGAAAGAATCGACGGATGGAGCCTCAACCACGTGCTGAGGTAATGAGTTCCACTCGTTGATGATTCAATGGGAAAGTCAGATTCAGATTTTCAGATTCAGATTTGTGTAGTAAGGACAGAAGGCCTACGGCCTATGTTATTCCTTTTCTAGTATGCTTCTGTGAGTGTCCAGTCTTCTCTTGAAAGAGTCAATTGAAGGTGCGGATACCACTGCTTCAGGCAGCAGGTTCCAAGTATTGATGACTCGGTGTGAAAACCTGTATGCCAGGGGTATTTTGTTCGTTCTTGGCTTTTCTACTCGCCTGCTATGTCCTCTGAGGTGTCCCGATCTAGTGGGAAGGAAGAGAGAGAATAAGTTAGGTCCGAAATCATTTCTTAGTATTCTGTACATCAATATTAGATCTCCCCTTAGTCTGCGATAGGACAGAGTAAAGAGGTTCAGTTTTTCAAGCCGCTCTTCATATGATAAACCCCGGAGTTCCGGAATCGCACGCGTAGCTGCCCTCTGTACCTTTTCTAGTATGTCTGAGTCACCTTTTAAACAGGGGCTTGCAGCCTGAACACAGTTCTCTAACTTAGTTCTCACTAAGGATGTGTATAATGTGGTGAACATGGTAGTATCAAGCTTAGTGAATGTCCTTTTTAAAGCCCAGAGGGTTCGAAACCCCTTAACTGCGACCTCCCGGCAATGGGCCGTCGTCTTAAGATCATTGCTCAGTGTCACCCCTAGGTCCTTATGAGACCGGACTATGGGTAATGACACATCCCCTATGTTGTACGTATTAACCTTTGAATCCCCCAAGTGCATGTAGACACACTTTTCCGAGTTGATAGGCATTAGCCACTCTTTAGACCAGTTTATCATATTATTTAAGTCCGCCTGAAGAGTAAATGCGTCTGTGTCACCAGTTATTACTCGCCAAATTTTTACATCGTCAGCGTATAATAACATTGGAGACTGTACTATACTTGTAAGATCATTAACGTACATTATAAAAAGTAAAGGACCTAGGACGGAACCTTGGGGTACTCCACTAAGTACTGGTCTCCAGATGGAGCACTTGGAATTTATTCTTACTTTTTGCCTACGACCTACTAGGAAATCCTTAATCCATTTTAAAAGAGGTCCGGCAATACCAAGGTTTGCCAACTTCAATAGCAGTCTATTAGTTGGCACCTTGTCAAAAGCCTTACTGAAGTCTATGTAGACAACATCCACTGAGTTTCCGTTGTCTAGCGCATTAATCCAGAGCTCCCTAGCTATAAGGAGGTTCGTTGTACAGGATAGACCCTTTCTAAAACCATGTTGTGCCATGTTCAGCAAGTTATTGGTTTCCATAAATGCCGTTATGGTCCGTTTGATTATCCCTTCCAGTATTTTAATTACAACACTGGTGAGGCTTACGGGTCTGTAATTTGATGGAACTTGTCGTAGACCAGTTTTATGTATGGGAGTGACGATTGCGTCCTTCCAGTCCATAGGTAACACACCTTGGTCAAGTGACATTTTGAATATCACAGTCAGTGGGGCTGCGATATATTGGGCAATATGTCTCAAGATTTTAGGGTGTAGTTCATCTGGTCCTGTTGACTTCTCCATGTTTAGGGTGCTAAGAGCCTTAAGCACATCGTTTTGGTCGAAGTCCACGGTGAGCAGCTGGTTTGTTGACTCTGTAATTTGGTCTGGTTCTTTCTCTAGAGGAGGTTCCTGAGTGATAGTCAGCTGACAAGTAATTTGTCCTGAGCTTGTGAATTTTTTTTGAGTGTCCTCGTAAGTTCTCTGTTTTGGAAGACAAGGAAAATCAGGGCATATCAGGTGCAAATTTGGCACTAAGTAATTTGAAAACTGTAATCAAGTCGTATCTAGTTCTGCGATATGACAACGGGAATAGGTTTAGCTTGGCCAGTCGAGCATCATACGAAAGCTTCGCTATTCCGGGAATCAGCTTGGTTGCTGCTCTCTGAACCTTTTTCAAAAGCTCAATGTCCTTGAGGCACCCCACTAAGCACAGTTCCCCAGCTAGATAACTTTGAGTTTACTCGTACTCTTTGTTGACGCCCAACTAGGAAGTCTTTTATCCACATAAATAGATTGTCTACAATCCCGACATTTCTTAACTTATATAACAGCCGGTTACGCGGAACTTTGTCAAAAGCTTTGCTGAAATCAATGAAGGCTACTTCTACAGATAACTTTTGGTCCTTAGGGTGCACTAGCTTTCACGAGCCACTAATAAGTTAGTGAGACAAGAATAACCTATTCTAAAGCCATGCCACTCCTCCGAAAGGATCCGGTTTTCATCGAGGTACTTAAAAAGCTCTTTCCGAATAATCTTTTCTAAGATTTTAACAACCACACTAGTTAGGCTAACGGGGCAGTAATTCTCAGGTTTGTGTTTCGTACCTGTTTTGAAGACAGAACTTACTATGGCGTTTTTCCAGTCTTTTGGAAAACGACCCTGCATTACGGTTAGGTTAAAGCATATACTTAAAGGGTTCGCAACGAAGTTAGATAATTCCTTCATTAGCCTAGGATGTAATTCATTAGGCCCCGTGGATTTACCTATGTCAAGCTTATTTAGTAGTCCAAAGACACCGAGTTCTTTAATGGTCACGCTATCCAGTGTATTTGTGGGGGATCTGTATGCACTGGCAGGAAGGGTGCTTCTATGGTATATACATTGGTAAAGTAGTTCGAAAACACATGAGCCTTACCAAAGTCGTCCTCCACTAATGATGAAGCAGTACTGTCTCCCCATAGAGCAGGAATATTTCCTTTTCTCTATGTCCTTTGGTTCATATAAGAATACAAGCGTTTAGGGAATTCTATGGATTCCCTAACAATTTTCTCTTGGTACAACTTTCTAGACTTATGGAAGGTTGAAGCACAAGCATTCCAAGCATTTCGGTGCTCAGATATTGTCATCAGTGCTCAGTAACATAAGTCTATTACACATTTTTCTTCTCTTATGGAGAAGGATGTGAATCCCCCTACTGAACCATGGTGGGGATATTCCTGGCCCCCTTGCTATAGTCCAAGGGATGTGGGGTGTGATAACTTTTAAGTATGAATTTCGAAATGCGTCTCAGGCCGTTTCAATTGAGGACTCTGGGTATATTGTCTAATCCACTAACGATGCTGAGTGCATGATATCTTGTATGTTTGCTTTCCAGACGTTAGGTCTGGATTGGACTGACGCGTGCTCGTGACTGACAGTTATATGGAAGTCGAGAGTTCATTAAGCAGCTGTTTAATCAGCACAATGTCATGCTCAAAACGAGCTTTAGGTTCAGAGCTCTCACTCTCCTTGATTCTGTGAAAAATAACTGATTTGTCGCTGGGACCAGCTTTCGATTTTTCGACTACTTTTACGGGGGCAGGATCCCTTTTTATACCGCTGCGTTGTTTCTTCCTTACAATCTGTACCCATTCGTCAACGGTGCTAGGAGAGGCAACCGCAGTTGCGTTGAACCTACTGTTGGATTCCGGAGGGTTGTCGACGACCTAGGACATATCTTTCAATTTCAAAAGTACTCGACCCTCATAATTATCAGATACTAGAGTTTAAGCATTAAAATCTCATGTTTCAGGCCATTATAATGAACATTCATCTTGAGATAAATGGTTAAAAATTGTCAATGGAGGAATTTGTTAGGCAGGAATGATGAACATAATGTTGCTTTGTTGCTTTCTTTGTATTGATTATAATTGATCTTGGATCCATCAAGAGTTTGAAGGATCAAATTAATAAGCAGTGAGATTGACGTCGGTATTTCTTTGACCGGCCTGGATGTCATTATCTTAGAAATTTACTACTATTCTTGAATTTCCCTTTCTAAAGATTTTCGACATTTTCCCGACTAAATATGCATCTGCAGTTATTTATATGCATTGATACACGCAGTGTAATATCGCGTCTTCTCACTGTTAGTCTATGTTGCTGTATTTTAAGTGAAGAAATCATCCATATTTTTAGATGTATTGTTTCTAACCCTTGATACAGTTCAGTCTTTGGAGATTATTACATTTATCTTCACTTACGGTTGTCACTTTCAATGTAAATAAAAACTGAAATTGATTGTGTAGGCATGTAAGCTCTATCAAAGGCTGAACTCAGATAAATACAGTGTTGTAAATAGAATACATAATGCACCAATATATGTATGGAATATTCATGAATTGCCATTTATGAATTAAAATCACATGAGCAACACGTGATATCCATTTTAAAATGGGTAAATGAGAATGTAATAAACATACGTCAAAGTAAATGTGTTTCGCGTGTTCAAACTATGGAATATCTCGGATACACAACAAGCCTAGACGTAACTTATGAGGCTCCTAAAAAGCTGAAGAGTAAGCTGGATCAGACATCTACGTTAATGTATCCGAATTCCCATTCTCCGCTTGCTTTGATGGTATAAGCATCAGACAGAGACGTCGGCAGTATCCCTAAATAACTGGTTCAAAACACCTGAAAACAACTTTAATTCTACTCTAAAAGACTCGCTCCAGCAGAAACAAAATATCCTCACCGCAGGCTAGAACTTTGCGCAAACTGCCTAACCTCTAGACATTTCTGACGCACGTTGTTAGGCAGAGAATCCATGTCTTAAGTTATTAACCACTAACCAATGTACTGAAAGTTGCAGCCGACAAATATTCCTCCCTAGAGGTCCGACGCTTTGACTTAATATCATAGTTCACCAGCGATATCCCATATATCAAAGATCAGAACAAGCAGGTGGCAGGCACATTATTTCGGCTTTAAATAAACACAACAAAATAACCTACCCTTCATTTTAAGGCGTTAGGAGGCAGGTAAAACGCGGATCAAGAATTTCGAAATCTACTTGCAGTGCGAAATCTAATCTCAAATTGAAACAGCTACCTTCTCCTATTGAAAGTAGTGTGA